CATCATTGATGTTTCTATCTCTCTCTCCCTCTCTCTTCCTCTCTGAAATCAATAAAAATGTATTTAAAAGAGAAAGATAAATTATGATGGCTTCCTCCCAGTTTTCCAGCCTTGTCCTCACCTCCTGTTAACCTGATTACCCATCCTTCTCTAAAACATGACCAGTTCTAAAAAAATAAAAATAAAAAAATAAAATAAACATGACCAGTTCTAGCCCTAACTGGTTTGGCTCAGTGGATAGAGCGTCAGCCTGTGGACTGAAGGGTCCAGGTTTGATTCAGGTCAAGGGCATGTACCTTGGTTGCGGGTACATCCCCAGTAGGGGGCGTGCAGGAGGCAGCTGATTGATGTTTCTCTCTCATCGGTGTTTCTAACTCTTTTTCTCTTTCTTCTCCTTCTTCTCCTTCTTCTCCTCCTCCTCCTCCTCCTCCTCCTCCTTCTCCTCCTTCTTCTTCTTCTTCTTCTTCTTCTTCTTCTTCTTCTTCTTCTTCTTCTCCCCCCCCCCTCCCTCCCTCCCTCTCTAAAAAATCAATAAGATATATTTAAAAAATAAAAAATAAAACATGACCAGTTCTAAACGGAAACCACACACTGGAGATGACCGAGAGACTGCACACATATGAAAACGTGTTACACTGCCAGGGTGATTCTCAGCAGAATATTTATAGCTTAAATGTGTCCATTAGAAAACAAGGAGTGAAAAATGCACGTAATTCTAAAAGAACCTAGAAAAGTAAGTAAAATAAAACCAGAGAGAGCAGGAAGTTTTTACAGACCTAAACACACCTAAGTGAACCAGGCGACAAAGCAGCAAACTTGATTAGTATAATCGGGATCTTTCTTCTTCATGTTCTTTCTTTCTTTCTTTCTTTCTTTCTTTCTTTCTTTCTTTCTTTCTTTCTTTCTTTCTTTCTTTTTTATTTTCTTCATGTTCTTTATAACAAAAAGTGCCACGCCGGTCCCATAGTGGGTTAGTGTGATAAACCTGTATGTGACCGCAGCTTCAGCAACCGTCAACGCAGGCCCATCCTGTTCCATCTGTACTCCACCCCCCACTGCCACCGTCTCTGGGTTATTTGGAAGCAAATCTCAGCTATGACTTCTCATCTGTAAAAATCTGATTATTAAAAGAGTGACTTTTGAAAAAGTATAACCACATACTTTTATACCTAAAAAGAAACAATGACCATTTTTTAATGTTATCAAATATCCAGTCAGCATGCAAGTGTCCCTGTTTGTTAAAATGTTAACATTTGTTTTTTGAAATATGATTGACATATAATATTAGATTCAGGTACAGAACAGAAACTAGGCATTTATATACCTTTAAAAGATGTTTTTATTGTTTAAAGCACATGTGTCAAACACAAGGCCCGCGGGCCAAATCCGTCCCGCCAGGCCTTGCAATGTGGCCCGCACCGCGCTGTCATCACTGCACTCCGCTGCGTTTCCATCACAATGACAGTTTATGACTGTTCAGTAAACCATTCGGCCCTCGATTTAGGCTGGATTTTAGATTTTGGCCCCTTCTCTGATTGAGTTCGACACCCCTAGTTTAAAGTATTACATATGTCTCCTTTTTCTCTGATGGACCCTCCCCCCCCCACATTTTTAAATTTTTAACAGATGAATTATTCAAGTCAGGACTCCAAACAGGTCTACATGTTACATTTAGACCGCTTCATCTTCATAAGTATCGTGAAGTCTCCCTTTCTATCTTTCTTACTCTTTCTGCAATTTACTTGTTGAATCCAGATTGTCATGTGGAGGAAAACACTCAGATTTTTGCAGGTTTTATCTCCAATGTGTTAACATGTCGTCCTTCTCCCCTATTTTCTATAAACTAGTAGTTAAGAAGCTAGTTTTAGGGAAAGATCAATAAGAACAATTTTTTGGGCAAGTATGACAGGGAGAAAAAAGATTAAAAAAAAAAATAAGAATGAAGCCTTAGCCTGTTTTGCTCAATGGATAGAGCATCAGCTTGCTTTGGTCCTGCTTCGATTCTGGTCAAGAACACATACCTCGCTCGGTTGCAGACTCCTCCCTGCTCCAGGCCCTTGATCCGGGCTCACGAAGGAGGCAACCGATTGATGTGTTTTTCTCATGTAGATATTTCTCCGTGTCTTCCCCTCTCTCTTCTACTCTTCCTAAAAATGGAAAAATATCTTCGGGTGAGGATTAACAAAAACAAACAAACAACAAAAAAGTAATGAGACAGGAAGCTGTTGATAAGAAAGAGGTTAAAAAACATAGAAGAATACTATGTACAACTCTATACCAATACTTAGAAAATCTAAATTAGCTCTATCCTATAAATATGTAACACAAGTTGCAAATACATCACGTATGTAGTTTTAAATTTTCTGGTGTATACATTTAAAAAAACGAAACTAGTTTTGATAATTTTATTTCATCCAATGTATCCAAAATATTTCTATTTGTAATCAATATATTTTAAAATTCTTTTGGAATCCTTTTTCCCTCCAGCTTTATTGGGATATGATTGACAGATAACATTGTGTAACTTTAAGGTACAAAATGGCATCATTTGACATAGGTTAATATTGTGAAGTGCTTGCCACAGTAAGGTTATGAACTGGTGAGAACTTTCCAGATCTATTCTTTTAGCATCTCTCGTGTGTACAATACAGTATTGTTAAGTGTAGCCACCATGCTGTACATTAGGTGCTCAGAACTTACTCATAACTGGAAGTTGTACCTTTGACCACCTTTGCCATTTCCCCAATCCTGGAAAGCAGTCTGCTTTCAGATTCCAGATATAAGTGAATCATACAATCCATTTTATAGTAACTCTGAAATCCAGTGTGTATTTTATACTTACAGCACATCTCTATGCATTTGGGCTAGCTACATATTGGGTGCTTTATTTTTTTTAATTTTTAGTTTTTGTTAATCCTCACCCAAGGATATTTTTCCATTGATTTTTTCCAGAGAGTGGAAGGAGGGGGAGAGACAGAGAGAAATGTGAATATTGATTGGTAGTCTCCTGCCAGGGATGGAGCCTGAAACCAAGGTAGGAGGTAGGTGCCCTTAATCGGAATCAAACCCGGGACCCTTGCCTGCTGGCCCTCGCTCTATCCACTGAACCAAACTGGCTAGGGCCATTTTGAATGCTTAATAGCCACACCTGGCTAGTGGTTACCATATTGGACAGAGCAGACTTAGATAAATAAAATAATAATTTTATGAAAATTGACATATGAAGGAGTTAAAAATGTGAATCAATCAATAACTATAACCAATAACCAGATAGTAATCAATGATGAAGCGCTAAGAAAAGATATCTGGCTCAGGTGGTTTTTTGAGAAAAACCATTAAGGAACAAATCACTTCTATGATTTATAAATGATTTCAAAGCAGTTCTAGTTATGGATAAACTCCCTTACAACTGACGCATTCAGGGATACAGTCATTGCAGCTCTGAAGAGTTGATGAGGGGTCAGGCAGGAACCTGGAGGAATAATTGGTTTGCACTGAAGGTTGGGGGACAAGAGAAGCCTGTGAGCGGAGTAGTTACCAGAGGGGAGCAGGGGAGGGGGCAGATAGGAGAAAGGGCAGGTAGGAGAAGGGGCAGGTAGGAGCGGGGTGGGGATAAACGGTGAGGGAAGGAGACCTGACGGGGGGGTGGTAAACTCACAGTACTATACAGATGGCGTCTGATAGAACTGTGTAACCGAATCACATAATTTTATTAGCCAGTGTCACCCCACTAAATTCAAAAGAGGCTAAAAAAAAAAAAAGATTTGAGAACTTCTCCAAACTCACGTTCAAAGTGCACATTGTTATTCACATTCATTAGCAAGGTGTGAGGATGACACTGAGCATTAGCATTAGAAAAGAGAGAGGCCCTCAGTGGTGTGTGGCTCCGGGGATAGAGCCTCGTCCTGAGCACTGAAGGGTCCCAGGTTCAGTTCTCGTCAAGGGCACATTTGCGGGCTCGATCCCCAGCAGGGGGCGTGCAGGAGGCAGCAGATCAGTGTTTCTCATCATTGATATTTCTCTCTCTCCCTCTCCTTTCCTCTCTGAAATCAATAAAATATATTTAAAAAGAGAAAGAGAAAAAGAAAATAGCCCAGTAAAAGCGGGGAGTGTAATAGAAAGCTCCCCACGGGAGGAGCTGCGCACAGGACACTTTATTTAAATCGGGAAATTAAGACCCGGAGGCTTTTAACTAAATTTGCAAACACATCTGCAGGTCCGTCCGGAGGCCTGCGAGGAGTCCCGGGGGCTCTGTCTCCCGGGCTCCGACGCCGCCGGCCCCGCGTCGGCCCCGCGACCGCCTGGGAAGCAGGAAGCGGTCCGGCCGCCGGCCTCCGGGGACCCGCCCGGCCCGGGGCGCAGCGCTGCGCGCGGCGGGAGGCAGCCCCGACCCGCCGGCGGACGTGCAGCCTGGGCCGGTGATAAATTCGAACTGATTATTAATTCTGGACATGTTTGCAGCTCAACCTGGAGGGCGAGTGGGGGTTCGACCATCGGTGCGCGCGCACGGAAAGCCAGCTCGCTCCCCGCCTCGTTCCAAAGTCGTGCGGGGAGCCCCAGGCGCGGCTGGCCGGTCTCCCCGACTCCGGCCGGTTCTGGCGGGGGGCCCCCGGGAACCCCCCGGTCCCCAGCCCGGAGCGCGGCCCGCGGCGGACTACAGGCTCCAGAGTGCCCCGCGGCGCGGGGGCGGGCGGCCGCAGCCAATGGGGGGCCCGCGGGCGGCGAGCGGCAGGTGGAGCCGGCGGTGGGCGGGCCGGGCCAGAGCGCGTCCCCGGCCGGCGGGCGGCGGTGGGCGCGGCGAGCGGCGGCCCGGGAGGCGCCCGGAGCCGGAGTCGGAGCGCACGGGGCGGGTCCGCGGCCGCTGGGAGGTTCCGGAGCTCCCGCCGCGCAGCCCCGGGCGCACAGGACGGACCGGGCTGCGGGGCAGGGCGGGTCCTCCAGCCCCTCCTCCTCCTCCTCCTGCTCCTCCTCCTCCTCCTCCTCCTCCTCCTCCTCCTCCTCCTCCTCCGCGCGGCCGCCGAGCCGCAGCCACAGCCGGAGCCGGAGCCGGAGGAGCCCGAGCCGGAGCCGGAGCCGCAGCCGCGCCACCACCACCTCGCTCCCGGCTCGCGCGCCCCGGCCATGGCTTTCGCCAATTTCCGCCGCATCCTGCGCCTGTCCACCTTCGAGAAGAGAAAGTCCCGCGAATATGAGCACGTCCGGCGGGACCTGGACCCCAACGAGGTGTGGGAGATCGTGGGCGAGCTGGGCGACGGCGCCTTCGGCAAAGTCTACAAGGTGAGGGCGCGGGGCCCGGGGCGCGGGGCGCGGGGCGCGGGGGGCGCGGGGGCCGGGACCCGGGGCGCGCGCTCCGTTCCGCCGGCGGCACCGCCCGGGAGGGCGCCGCGGGGCCGCCGGGACTTGAACCCGGGGCATCGTCACCCCGGTTCTTCGGAGGGACCTCCGGGCGCCCCCTCCGGACGCGGCTCCGCTCCCCCCGCTCGGGGTCCGGGCACTTCCTGTGCGGCTGGCACCGCGCTCGGCGCCGGAGGGGGAGACACAGGGGCGCTCAGGGGACCCGGCTTCCGAGGGGCCCCCGCGGCGGACACGCGGTCCTGCGAAGCTGGGAGACTCAGGGGCGCCCGCACTCGCTGTGGGAGTGATGCCCGGGCGGTGGTTGGAGACGCGGCTGCGCCAGGGCGGGCTGGGACCGTGGAACTGGGGGCGCACCTGGTGGAGGGGAGGGGCGCGGTCCGGAGGGAGAGGCTGGGAGGAGGAGGGAGAGGCTGGCTGGGAGCGGCGAGCCGGCGCTGCCCTGCGGGGTCCTGCTGGGTGGGCTCTGGGGTGAGTCACGGCCTCCGTCACCTTTCCCTCCGACGGACGGGGCGCCCGGAGCCTGTGCGTGGGGGTTGGGGGGGGGGGCTTGGGGCCGGGATGATTGATTGATTCTGGACGTGTTTGCAGCGGGACGGGGTCCGGTTCCTGCCCCCGCGAACCCGTTCCGAGTGGCTGAGCCGTATGGGGACCCAAACACTTTGGGCTGGAGGCCACCCTCTCCCTGCCGGGCCTCCCTTCTCCAGGACGCGCCGCCTGCCAGCCGCCAGCCCCCTCCCTGTAGCTTGTAGGGCACTCGACCCAGGACTGCACTTTAGGAGGCTGGGCCTCGGGAGGAGCCTCTCTTACCGCCCTCCCTTCTCACCCAGATCCTCCCCCAGAATCTGCTCTCTTTGCCTTGAAAGTGGCCTGGTTACCAAAGGGCGGTGCCTGGACCGGCAGCGTGAGCATCACCTGGGAGCCTGGGAGAGCCGCAGGAGCTCCCCTGCACCCACCAAGCCCATCCTGTACCCACCAAGCCCACCCTGCACCTACTAAGCTCACACTGTCCCCACTAAGTTAGCGTCTTATCAGGGGAACCCCAGGTGAGTCCTGCTGGGCGCCCGCTTTGGTTAGAGTGGCATCCGGATATGCCAAGGCTTCCGGTTCAGTCTCTCGCAGGCACATTCAAGAACCAGGCAATGACTGCCTAAGCGGAGCCACAGATCGATGTTTCTCTCTCCCTCTTCTCTCTAAAATCAACTTTAAGCTGAAACCGGTTTGGCTCAGTGGATAGAGCGTCAGTCTGCGGACTGAGTGGTCCCAGGTTCGATTCCGGTCAAGGGCATGTGCCTTGGTTGCAGGCACATCCCTGGTGTGGGGTGTGCAGGAGGCAGCTGGTCGATGTTTCTCTCTCATTGACTTTCTAGCTCTCTATCCCTCTCCCTTACTCTCTGTGGAAAATCAATAAAATATATTTTAAAAAATAAAATAAAATAAAATCAACTTAAAAAAAAAATCCCGGGTGGTAGCTGGGCACATGCACGTTGGACAAGCACCGCTTCAGAGGCGGTTTTGAGGCCACGAGGCCCATAGGGGGCCTGTTTTGTTACCTTCCCACCTCCCTCTGAGCCGCACTTCCGGTGGCAGGGTGGGACCCTGCAGGGGCAGAGATTCTGTGGTTGGGGGGGCGGGCCTCTGTGCTGTCACTCACACCCCAGGCAGCCTTTGCTGCCCTCCTCTGCCCTTCGCTGCCCCTGCCCGCATTGTATTTGAGGGCGGTGGGCACCTTCTCTGATGGCGGGCACCTCTCTCCTTGCCCCGTGTCAGAGCTTTATCTTCCTCCTCGTGGCACCAGCAAACTGTCCCCAGCCCGTGGCGCCCCTGGGCCCCCTGCCATTGTCCTGCCTTCAAATGCCCTCTGACCCCCAGGAGAATAGCTGGCCACCTCCTCACTTCCTCCCGAAGGCTGAGGGCTCGGCTGGCGTTCCCAGCGCTTGCAGTGGGCTGTCAGGATGTGTTTTCTCCGGGAGGGGCTGGCTTCCACCGCAGTCTGTCCCTCTCCCCCAGTGCACCCTGGCTTCCCAGCCGGTTCATGTTCTTTCAAACCTAAATGCAGAACTTTGCTTTTGTGCCGCTAAGATTTCCCCTTGTCAGTTTCAGTTGCCATTTCCTCCTGCTTCAGCCCTGAAAAACTCCCCTGCCGCTCTGGAAGTGTCATGGCGAGGGCCGCCTCCGACTGAGGGGTTATTTTACCTCCTCCTGTCTCTTCCCAGGCCCTGGACCCCCCTTTTAAAAAAAAAAATTACTAATTTCTTACAGAGAGGAAGGGAGAGCGAGAGAGAGCCAGAAACATCGATGAGAGAGAAACATCGACCAGCTGCCTCCTGCACACCCTTTACTGGGGATGTGCCCGCAACCAAGGTACATGCCGTTGACCGGAATTGAACCTGGGACCCTTCAGTCCGCAGACCGACGCTCTATCCACTGAGCCAAACCTGGTTTTAAAGTGAGTCCAGTTCTCCAAGCTGTGGACTGGCTGTACCAGGGCCCCCCCCCCCCCCACTCCCTCCTCCTCTAAACCCATGATTTTGCTCATCTTTAAGAGCCGGCAGAGCTAGACCACATGGGCTGTGTGATGGCTGACATACCTGGGCGATGTATCATATTACCTGTCGGACATGAGTGCGTGACCCTCTGATCTAAGCCAGCCTGGTGTTATGTGTGGGGACAGTAGGGTCCAGAGAGAGGAAGGGACGAGAGCCATGGCCTGGGCTTCAGTTGGACACTCCCCTTGGTTGCCCGCTAAGGAACACCCATCCTGGATCACAGTCCCCGTCCCTCGGGCCCCCAATCCTGGGAAAGGGCTGCTGGCGGAGCCCGAGAGCTGAAGGGAAGCAGGTGCTGCTTTGCTGAGGGTGAACCCAGGGCCACAACTCCCTTCCACTTCGTTCTTCCCTGGCGCGGCCACCAGGGCGGCGCTGGGGAGAGGCTCCAGCGAGGTGTGAGGGCTGGGACCAGAACTTGCATTTTGACGCGGTGCCCCGGGAACCAGTTGGCCGGGAGCTGGGGCAGTGGGGTGGCTGGCACCGTTTCTCTCCCTGGCATTGGCAGCCTGCATCCCCTTTCCTCCTCTTCTCAGGCGGCCCCGGGAGGACAAAGCAGAGGGCAGCCTTGGTTTTTGAGCAAAGTCAGGCTCCTTCTTACCTAATCCTCATGCAGTCGCAAGCTAATTTCCAAAGAAAGCCGTTTTCTCGTTCATTACTAGATACAAAGTAAAGGTCACAAGCTACAGGGTTTCAACATTCTTGCCCTTCAAAGTAGTCTTTATTCTGAAGAAGTGAGAGGGGAAAGGAAGTGATTGGTGCTCGCTGTCACAGCAGCGAGTGAAACAGATACAGGCTCGCATGCTGGACCCAGGCGGAGTGGGCCCACGCTAAGCCGGATGAGCATGCTGAGACGATCTTTCTGCTGCTGCTGCTTCTTCTTCTTCTTCTTCTTCTTCTTCTTCTTCTTCTTTAAATATACTTTATTGACTTTTTAAGAGAGGAAGGGAGAGAGATAGTTAGAAACATCGATGAGAGAGAGTCATCGATCAGCTGCCTCTTGCACACCCCCCACTGGGGATATGCCCGCAACCAAGGTACATGCCCTTGACCGGATCAAACCCGGGACCCTTCAGTCCCCAAGCCGATGCTCTATCCATTGAGCCAAACCAGTTTTTTGGCTCTTTCTGCTTCTTGAAAATTGCTTGGGTTTGGGCCTTATGTTGTCTTTTAAGATTTGAAAAGGTTTATGAGTTAGCAAAGTCGGGGGTATACGAAAACAACAAACCACACCCTTCAATGGCTATGGACACGTTGGTTTATTTCCTTCCAGGCTTTAGGGGTTTCTATGGTGACACACATGTGAATGCAGAGTTGTAAGCGTACACATATGCCATCCTTCATGCCTGCGGTCTCTTCCTGTGTTCTAAGTGCTCACACAGAAGCCGGGATGGCTCAGGGCCCCCAGATCCTAATCTCAGGGATGTGTAAGTAAACGCTCCCGCTCGCTCTCCTCCTGTTCATTGTTAACAAGTTCAAGTTGACTCAGTGCTTATCAGGGCCAGGCGCTGTGCTGAGCACTTCGCGCGGTCACGCCTGCTGTGATCCTCGCTCACGCTCCCACATCTCAGGGCCTTGTGGGAGAATAGGGCTCAGGACACAATTCCCAGAAGCCGCACGGGAGCATGTTTGATGGTTTTTGTTTATAAGAATTTAAAATAAAAAATTTAATTTATTGATTTGAGAGAGAGAGAGGGAAACATCGATGGGTGGTTCCACTTGTTCATGCCGTCATTGCTTGACCCTTGTATGTGCCCTGATCTGGGGTCGAACCTGAACCTGAAACCTGGGCGTATCAGGACGATGCTCTAACCCCGTGGTCGGCAAACCGCGGCTCCAGAGCCACATCGGCTCTGTGGCCCCTGGAGTGTGGCTCTTCCACAAAACACCACGGCCTGGGCGAGTCTATGTTGAAGACGTGGCGTTAGAAGAAGTTTAAGTTTAAAAAATGTGGCTCTCCGAAGAAATGTCCATCGCTGTGCTGTTGATAATTGGCTCTAATGTCTAATGAGTTTGCCGACCCCTGCTCGAACCAACGGAGCTACCCACCTGGCCAGGGTGAAGCACATTTAAAAAAAAAAAAAAAAAAAGACCCTTAAACACAGTTTTCTATTTCTTACCCACACCCAAACAAGTGTGTGGGTAAGAAATAGAAAAGAAAAGTTATAACAAAGACAGTTCCTGCGCCTGTGAGGAACCCCGCAGGGTGTGTGTGGCGGTGGGCGTGGGGGTGGTGGTGAGGAGAGACGCAGACATGGATGGTGTGGCCAGAGCGCAGACAGTGTGGGAGGTGCGTCCCTCTTTGGGCCTCCCTCGCCGCTGGTCCGCATCCACCTTGTGTTTCTGGAAGACAGGACTGCACCCAGCAGGTACCGTGTT